TAGATAGAAGTATCCTTTGTTCACTTATGAGACATAATGATTGTTTGCTTGTCATGCTAATTTTCAATATTTAATAATTATGAAATTTTCTTCTTTTTAACTATTGTTACAAAACTATAATACACTAATCTTAATTAATAATCATTGTCATTACAATCATCATTACCATCATCACACATTCACATGCAAAAGAAAAAGAGCCTTTTAATCAACCCAACCTCACCTGGGATGCTATTTTGCTGCTGCCAAAGTATGAGACAAAAGCCCTACACAATATTGCTCCATCCATCTCTTCATTATTATTGTGTTCATCCTTTCTTCATGTATATATATATATAACTCATGTTGCCTAATTTCTCTAATGATGATGCCATGTAAATGTCATGCCAACCACATTATCACAACTTAATGGAGATATGGGTCCCCTTTATTTTCTTCATTTAAAAACAATTTCAGATGAAATCAAATGAAAAAGGAAACCGCTAATAATCAGCCAGGTTTTAAGGTCAGGCCGTATTCGAACCCCTGATATTTGAACTTTAATCGATATTACAAAACGAGTTGAAGATCGGCTCATTTATTGATAATAATGAGTTAATAAATTATTAAAAAAATTAAATAACTTTTTAACTTAAGTAATGCTACATGTACATAATATTGTACATAAGGGTGTACATAACACTCACATTTAGTGGGACCTACCAAAATTAAGAAATCAAGTGGACCCCACTCTATGTGAGTGTTATGTACACCTCTGTGTACATTTATTATGTACTTGTAGCATTTTTCTTTTAACTTTATGCTTGGGGCACATTAACTGGATGGGATCGAACTCGGCTAGTTTGATGATCGAGTCGAGCTAAACTCGAGTATTAATGAGTTGAGCCTTGGTTTGGAATGGTAAAATGACTCCTCACCGAGACTAGATAAGATGATATATAATGATAATTACCTTATATTTAGAGTGGATTGACCCAATATATATAAGACTATTCTTCTTTATCACTAGTTAATTGTTGTTGATAATACTTGTAGTTGATACTGTAAGAATTAACTGGAAACATAGGTTATATAGACGGTAGTTGAAATTTGAAATTTAGGACATACTATTCAAGATGTAATAAAAATAGTACTAGTACAAATTAAAAGAACCTGAAAATTAGTAGTAGTACAAATTATATCAAATCTGGCTTAGCAAGCTGCTCATCGATCTAGCTTTCACCACCCCAACCTTATTCCTCTTCTTCCTGACCGTCAAAGCCGGCTGCTCAGCCTCCGACAAAGGTGGCAGCCCACTCATTTCCGGCACTTGCCGATTGGCAGCCACACTTCTCAGCCGCCCCTTCCCCAAATGATGCTCACACAAAGAGTAGCCGACAAGTGTCGGCTGGTGGCACCGCCACCCTCGCCCGTTTATTCGGCTGCACCGTGACCCCTCCATTATCACTTTCCCTCTCTTGCTCTTATTCTTCGTTGAAAAGTCATTCGTAATCCCGTTTGCTTCAACTATGACTGGTATTTGGTCATCACATTTCTTGTTCGTCTTGGACTGCATCTTTGAAGTACTCGATATCGATATTATTTCATCGTTTAATGGAGTCCTTTCGAAACTCCCTTTACGCTTCTTCAGTGGAGCCATCTTGTTTTCTGCTTCACACAATTAAACTCCCTTGTGACAGTGTTTGTTAGCGAAATTAATCACAAAAAATAAGTAATAATGCAGCGCCTACCAATTTAGGGGGGAGAAGAAATTAAATAGGTCCTTGAAAGCGAGTTTTTGCCTAATTAATCAGTCTATATTGAAGGAATTAATACTTGTAATTTTGTCTTAGTTATTGAAATCCTCCGATCCCCACATATAATTAATATATATTCAAACGAATACGAATAAAATGATTAGCACAAGGAATAATACGAATTAGCAGTACCTTAATTTATCATAAAATTTAACATATACACCTTATAAATTACCTTGAGCAGAAGAAGTTGATTTGTGCAGCACATGAATTCTGTTATCATCATCACTTGCTTCTCCACTAGAGATATAATTAACTATCTTCCTGAGACGAATTAATTAACGGAGGAGGTGTTACATATATACAAGAGTTCAATAATGGCCAAGTAAAAATCATCATGAAATATCATGTGTGCACGCAACAATGTGTATAATGCATCACATCATCACATGGGAGCACAATAAAAGCAATGCCATTTGATTCGGTTTGAGAGTAACAAGAGCAAAAAAATTATAAACATATACATATTATATATAAATTTCTTGT